GTCCTCACCACCCCCTCTGCCCATCTCTTACAGGCCTGGGCTGCAGTTCAGAGGAGGAACAGCCCCCTGAGGCTCTGCCCCAGCGAGGTTCTGACCCCTCAGAGCTGCTGCTGGAGCGGGAGGAGGAGAACGGAGGGGAGAGCACGGCAGCCCCAGGGCAGTGACAGCGTGGCCCTGTCCCCTCCATCCTGCACCACCTCGAGAGTGGAGCACCTCCAGCACCTCACATGGTGCCCAGGGCAGCCTGGGGCACACCCAGACCCTCTGTGGGTGAGCTCTGGTGTCCCTGTGCTGCTGTCCCTGCACACCAATAAAGCACTGAGCAGCTCTGCACTCCCTGTGCTCGTCCTTTGTTCCCCAAACTCGCTGGGAGAGGGGGGATGGAGCTGCTCAGGCTGTGCCCAAAATGGGAACTGGGATCAGGCTCTCCCCATCTGGGCCACCAGTCTTGTCCTCTCCAGGGGTGATGTTGGCCCTAGGCACAGCAGCCATGGGTTGGAATAATATTCCATCGGGGGGTTGGCATCGTATCCTGAGCTCACAGGAGCCAGGCTGAGCCCTGGGCACTCTGGTTTCTCCATTTCTGGGCCAACTCTGGTGCCAGGAGGGCTGGAAGGAGCCCAGAAACCACTTGGCATGTCCAGCCTTGGCCTAAGGGGCAGTGGGGCAGAGCTCGGTGTGGGGGAGTCCTGGGGAGGAACAAACCCAGGAACCAGGATGGGCTGGGGGACACCCAGGTGGGACAGAGCTCAGCTTGGGGACCTGCTGGACATGGGGTGACCTTGAACCATCAGCGTGCTGTGGGTACAAGGTGGTGAATGGGATCCTGGGCTGCAGGATGAGAGAGGGATCATTCCCAAATTCGTGAAGGATCATCCCCAAATTGATGAAGGATCGTTCCCAAATTCGTGAGGGATCGTTCCCAAATTCGTGAGGGCTCATTCCCAAATTCATGAGGGATCATTCCCAAATTCAGCGAGGCCAGGCCTGCAGCACTGCCCTGTGTTCTGTCCTTTGCTCCAAAGGGAACAGGGACACACTGGGGACTGTTTGATGAAGGACAAAGGACAAACTGGAGCCCCTCACYCACGAGGAACGTCCAGCAGAGCTGGGAATGTTTAGGGATGAGAAGGCTCTGAGGAGTTTCATCCCTCCACAGCAATTCCTGCAGGGAGGAGGCAGCCAGGCTCTTCTCAGCAGTGCCYAAAATCCCYGGGGAGCGCCTGAYGCCMCCTCWGAACYTCAGGAAAACACTTTTTGCTGGAGATGGAGCACRGACACAGGTTGCCCAGGGCGGTTTGGTGCTCTCCTTCCTCACAGATATTAAAAACCTGTCTGGTCACAGCCCTGGGCACCCTGCTGGAGCAGAGGCAGGGACCAGGTGCCCTCCAGAGGCTCCTTCCAGCACCAGCCACGGTGTGATTCCATGAAAATCCTCATCCTGGAGCAGCTCAGTGCCAGGGTCCAGCTGTGCCCAACAACGTGCAGCTTCATCCCTTCCTCCTCCTCTTCCTGGAGCAGGGGGAGGAGGAAACTCTGATTTTTGTTAAACAGGACCAAATCCACCCACACCACAGCAGGGACACGCGGCTGGGAGCTCTGTCTGGGACAAAATGAAAGGGACACAACCCTCGGAGCTGCTGCTGGAGCTGAGATGACAAATCCCTTTTGGACAGTTTGCTGGACCCTCTGGACCGGGTGGCCATCCCAGCAGGAGGATCCACGGCAGGATCTGGCTCCTGCAGCCTCCAGAGGTGGTGGAGCAGCCCCAGTGCCCAAACCCCTTGGAGATGGATGTGTCACCTCCYTGTCCCCTCGTTGTGGGACAGACTCTCCAGCTGACAGGGCTTTATCAGYGCCCAGGCCTGACTGGAATTTTTGTGGCCAAAGCCTGTTCCTGTTCATCATGTCCGTGGCTGGTGGCTCCATCTGACCACRGGAAGCAGGAGAGCGCCGGGGGGTGGCAGATTGTCACATGTCCTGCCCAGGGCTCCGTGGTTTTATCTCTTGTGGGWAAGAGGGGATGGAATTCAAGAAGAAAATTAATTTGAAAACTGGTGTATGGAATTGCTGCTGGAGAATAGGAAGACTTTTTGGGAATCCCCAGCCTTCCCTGGGGAAAAGGGGGGTCGGGGGAGACCCTGTGGCTCTGCACAACTCCCTGACAGGAGGGGGCAGCCAGAGGGGTCAGGTTCTGCTCCCAGGGGACAGAGACAGGACAAGGGAAATGGCCTCAGGTTGTGCCAGAGGAGGTTTGGGTTGGAGCTTGGGGAAAAATTCTTCCCCAAAAGGGTTGTCCARYCCTGGCACRGCTGCCCAGGACAGCGGTGGAGTCCCCATCCCTGGAAGGGTTTAACAGCCCTGTGCATGTRGCACTTGGGGACAGGGGACAGCRGTGGCCTCRGCAGCGCTGGGAATGGCTGGACTYGATGATCTCAGAGGGCTTTTGAAGCCTGAATGAYTCAGGGTCCAACTCTGACACCTGACAGAGCTCACCTGCTTCCTCTTCCTCCTGCGTTCGCGGCAGGAGCCGCGGATTCCCCGCTCCGAGTCAGCGAAGCAGCTCCTTAGAAACAAATAAACAAACAAAAATATTCCAAATCCTCCCTGCAGCCTTCCCCATGGCCGAGTGACCGAAGGAGGCTGAGGAACCCCTTTCCCACACGTCTCATCCCGTTTTTTCCCCGCTGTCTATTCCGTGTTTTGCTCATTGCACGGATTCCAAGCCCATCCCTCGGGAGCTGCAGATGATGAACCAACTCCAAGTTGCGTATAATCAATCCCTTGATGAGCTATTTACCATGTGACTTTACCAAAATATTTCTGGTTGGGAGTGATGTTTATCTCCCTCTGTTTTCCAAACTCCTCGTGGCCCTGGAAATCCGAGTCCCAGGACTCCAGGAATGAACTTTTTCTCTCCAATCCTATATTTATACTCTAAAAAAACTGATTTACCTCCAGAAGAAGTTTATTTACTGGCAGAAGACATGTGTTCCTTCTCCTYCCACTGCTTCCCATGGCTTAACACATTCAATTCTGTAATTCAGATAGGAATGGAGAGTGGAATTGTACCTGGAACTCATTACAGCCACTGAGAAATTCGGCAGTGCTGAAAATAGAATTCTAATCTCAGGATCTCAGAGGCAAAGGAATTAAGATCTTGGTCCTTCCATCAGGACTGACCTTCACTTCAGCCACTCAGCTCCAGAGTAGGTGCTCAGGAATCCTCCATGGGGGCAGAAAGGATGAGGATGAGTGATGTCCCCTGGGGAAGCTTGAGAAGYGGTTCCCACCTTATCTCAGGTATTTCAGGTGCTCCCAGGTCCAGCTTTTTGAAGGAACCTGAGCTGTCCAAATATCCTCGAGCTTCTGGAGTTTTATCCTTCAGTGCCAGAGGATCAAAAAACTTTGGGCTGCAAAACCTAAATTTGGGAATGCTTGTTTTGATGTTTTGATCAGGGAATATTGCCAGGGTAGATCTGATATCAAGAAATAGGATTTTTTT